GCCAAACTATCTCAGCACAGCAGCCGTAGTTGGCCTGCAGACACAGGACTCTCTTGGGCTGAGGCAGGCTGTATGGGTGCCAAAATTTCAGGTGGGCTAAAAGCTTTTAGACTGCTTTTGAATACTAGAACAAAAGGCATTTGCATGATTACATTTCAAACAACTTTACATAGGTGTTAATGGCTTAAGGTAGGAAAGGATTCTTTTCACAGAATTTTTTTAGTGTTGTAGAGCTCTGCAAACTCTGATCTTAATGATTTTTTAAAATCCTGTGTTACTAGTTAATTCACAGTAAATTGTTAAAACTGGAAGAACTTTACCATATATCCTGTTTAATTTGTTTGGCCTTTCAGTTGGAGTTGGATTCAAGGCAAGAGCTCTAGGGGCTTCTGCTCTTTGAGTTAGTGACACACACAGGATGAAAGTTTCAAACCAGAACTTTTATCTGTTTTTACAAGTCTCTGTTTCATTTGCATAGCATGGATCCTAAACATTTCCCAGAGAAAGAGTATAAGTCTCAGTGAATACTTTTACTCTGCTTTATGGTGTCAGTAAATATTGTATTAATATTTTCAAGGAGAGCATGACTATTTCTGGTTTACTCATAAATTTGTTTAGCATCTTAAAGCTATGCATATTTTTTAGGCTTTTACTTAATGGCCATGTCTTTGGTTTATTTATATAGCTATTTCCAGTATGCCCCATTTTGGTGTGTTTACTAGCTTGAGTTGTTAGGATGATAATATATGTACTTCAAGAATAGTGTTAATTATTTTTATTTAATTTCTTATTACATAAACATCTTAAGTATTGCTTGTTGTTAATTATCGCTTGTTTAAATATATTGTTTTCCATACCTATAGACTATTTTAAAATATATATATTTATACTAGGGTTTTTGTTTGTACTGGGATACACTGCACATCCGCATAAAACCTCAATATTGATGGTACACACAAGAAATTTCAGCCCACCTGAAAGAAAATTCAGCCCACGCAAGAATGGAAAATGCACCCACGGTGCAGTGGCCCAACCGCTAGGATCCCGCCTGTGGTGCAGTTGTCCCTCTCCATTGGCAGTATGATGGCCCAGCTGGGATGGAGCAGACCTACCCATGGAGGGCCAGGCAGCTGCTCTGCATTAGACCTCCAGTTAACTGGTTAAAAGATCAAAATTATATCTTTTAACTGCTTATCTTTTTTTTAATGGGCATTTACATCTCTAATAGCCCATCAAGCAGCCTGCTAAAGGCTAGTTGTATTCACTAGGTTACCCAGTAATTAGCTCTGCTGCATGCCCTTGCTTCCAGAAGGACTCTAGTGTACACTCCGATTCCTAACAGCAATAAGAAGAGGTTCTATAAATATATTAGGAGTAAGAGAAAGTAGGGATGTTAGTTATCGTGTAATTAAAAAGTCATGGAACTGCATGAAATCTAGCGGTTACACGACTATTCAACACTCCACGGGGGCAGGTGCTTCAGCTAGTGCATTCCTGGCACCGCTCCCTGGGAACCCTCTGCCACCCTGTGCTGCTTCCTCTATATCGGAGGCAGCAGCGCTGGGTGGTAGGTGGGAGCCAGTCCACCAGGGGAGCCAGTTTAAAAAACAGTTCTCTGTGCAGACTGGCTGCCTCTTCCCTCCCCTGCTGTAGGAGGCAGCTGGGGATGGGGACAGGCAGGTCTGGGGAGCCGGCACATGTGGGAGCCTGCTTGAAAGCCAGTTTCTCACTCCAGCCTGCCCCCCATACCCTCCGTGCAGCAGTGTGGGGCCGGGGGAAGGGAGTGGATCCTGTACTCAGGGGAAGCCTATTTAAAGCCAGCTCCTTATGAGCTGCTCTGGCTCTGCAGTTTAAATTTAGTAGGAGCAGGGCTGCTTGCGTGCCAGGCTCCTACTACATTTAAACTTCACAGACACAGGGTGGGTAGCTCTTGGACCAACATGAGCTGGAACAGACTGCCTTCCCTTATCAACTGATCGTGTAGTCGATACAAATTTTATTGACTACATGATTAGTCAGTTACCTGCCTCTTAATATCCTTATTCTGTAGTTGACTACATGTTGACATCCCTAAGAGAAAGAGGTAGGAAAATGTAAGTCCATTTGCCAATAGTGGATGATCCCAAAAAGGCTGAGGGGTTTAATGCCTATTTTCCTTCAGGCCTCATGAAAAAAGTTAAAACTATAGTATGCCCACATCTTGAATACTGCGTAAAGATGTGGTCTCCTCACCTCAAAAAAGATATTTTGGCATTAGAAAAGGTTCAGAAAAGTGCAACTAAAATGATTAGGGGTTTGGAACAGGTCCTAGATGAGGAGAGGCTAAAGAGACTGGTACTTCTCAGTTTAGAAAAGAGGAGACTGACTGAGGGGGAATACGATAGAGGTATATAAAATCATGAGTGTTGTGGAGAGGGTAAATAAAGAAAAATTATTTACTTGTTTCCCATAATATAAGAACTAGAGGATTCCAGCCAAATGAAATTAATGGGTAGCAGGTTTAAAACTAATAATAGAAAGTTCTTCACACAGCACACAGTCAACCTGTGGAACTCCTTGCCAGTGGAGGCTCTGAAGGCTAGGACTATAACAGAGTTTAAAAAAGAGCTAGATAAATTCATGGAGGTTAGGTCCATAAAAGGCTGTTAGCCAGGGGGTAAGGAATAGTGTCCCTGGCCTCTGTGTCAAAGGCTGGAGATGGATGGCACCTGTTACTGGCCACTGTCGGCAGACAGGATGCTGGGCTAGATGGACCTTTGGTCTGATCCAGTATGGCCATTCTTATGTTCTTATTGTGATCAGAAGCTTAAAATAGTATTAAGGAGGGGGAAGAAATACATGGCAGAATAGGGAAATAATAGGTTAAAGGATATTTAAATATATTCAAGTCAGCAGGGCCTGATAAAATTCGCCCTAGGATACTTTAAGGATATAGTTGAAGCACTTAGAACCCTTAGCAATTATCTTTAAGAACTCATGGAGGACAAGAGAGCTCCTAGAGGTCTGGAGAGGAGCAAACATAGTAATTTATCTTTAAAGGGGGTGGAGAGAGAATTGTGGGAATGAAGGCTAACATTGCTACTTAGAAAAATACTGGGAAAACGTATCCATTTGTAAGGAGCAAGGATAGATTAAATAATAGTCAATGTGGATTTAACCAACCTAATTACTTTCATTGATAACTAAAAACCAAAGACTTGAAGAAACGAATGACTCTGAATGGTTACATTCCAGATAAGAGCTATAATACAATCTTGATTTAGAATTTGTTAAAGTCTATAATAGTTTTTTCATATGGAGTTGAAATGCTATGGTAGGAATAGTTTAATGTATTTTATTTACTAACATTTATAAACCCTTTTGAGGATAAAAGGGATAATAAGTACTATAACTTCTAATTCAGGGTACCTGATAAAATTTTTTTGATTAAGGTACCTCATCCTTTATACAGCAAATGGTATCTTTGAACGTAGAGGTTGCTAAATACAACAGAAATAATGTAACTTACTGGTGGGTGTACTTACTTATGTGCCTTTGATAACAAGAGATTCTGGATCAAACAGTCCTGTATACTGAATAAACCATGGGTTTCCAAACTGGGGGGGCATGCCCACCTGGGGCGGGGCGTGAAGAAATTCCAGGGGAGCGTGAGGCGACCCACCCCCCCCCAAATCAAGTTTTGCTGCCCCAGTCAGTTCTGTGGGGGCGTGAGGGTTTTTCAAAAATCAAAAAGGGAGGCGTGATGTTGAAAAGTTTGGGAACCACCGGGGGGATTTTTCTTTGTTCAAATGAAACTTTTTAGTAATTACCTTACTGTCTTATTTTCCCCACCTTTATATCATTTAAATTTCTCTTTTTCAGTACTGCTGACAAACCTCAAGCCATACAAAATAGCCCAGGGGTTGGCAACCCACAAATGGCATGCAAGCCAATTCTCATTGGCACACGATGCAGGAGTTCAACCTTGCCCCTCCTCCCTCATGCAGCCGGGAGCCTACGCCAGTGTTCCCTTAACGTGTATGCTTATGTGGCGACGCAAAAAAAAAAAACGTATCTAAGCCCTCCCACCTCTGCAGCAGCACTTGCTTTCCTCCTGCTTCTGGAAGGTGAGTATCATGGCTGCACCCGCTGGAGGGGCTGGGGACAGAGCCACATTGAGGGTGTGGGTGGGTTAAGGACCAGGGGATGTTGAAGCTGTGGGTGGGCTGGTTGGGTTTCAGGAGGCGATGTTGAAGCTGTGGGTGGAGGGAGTATTGAAGTCATGGGCTAGTTGGGGACCAGGCATTGTTGAAGCTGCGGGAGTGGGGAGGGTGCTGAACCTGCAGGCAGCCAGAGCCACATTGCATTGCGGGGTGGCTGCTGTCGTCGTTTGGGGCCTAGAACACATGGTGGGTGGGCGGATTGCTGCTGTCAGGGGTTGAAGCTGGGGGATTAAATATGTATTGCGGTGGTTCCCAGCCTGTGGACTGCAGACCCATGGTGGTTCAGAACAGTACTGCAGGAGGTGCATGGAAAGTTTTTTGAAATGTTTTATCTTTTTTTCTTTTTCTTTTCCTTTCTTCCCCAGGGAGGGGGATCCGAGAAATGTTAATAGATTGAAAAGAGGTTCATGAGCTCAAAAAGGTTGGGAACCACTGATGAACTGCATATTTTGAAAAACTATTGCCCTTTGCATATGCATAATACTGACTGGAAAAACTATTGCTCTTTGACAGTCTCCAGCTTCCCCCACGTGCACTAGTCTCATGTTATTCTGAGGCAGCCAAAGCCAGAGGGAAGGAAGTAAAAAAGCCATCAAAATAGTATATTTAAAAATATATATATACAGAGATTCTGGCAGCAGGAAGAATAGGATCTCAGCAACTAATGGTGGCTCCTAAGAAAGCAAAGTTATATGTTTGCTCATTTCAGCCTTCTTGGACAGACGAATACGGATTTGTTCAACATAAAGACCATACTGTTTGTGCTTTATGTTGTGAGAGCGTTGTTTGTCACATATCAAGTGTCCAACAACATTTTCAGACAATGCATGAGAAATCCTTCAAGGATGAAGTGGACAAGACTGAGTCAATCAAACAGGCCATCACGAGATATGAAAAGCAAATCAGTGTCTTTACTAACTTCTCTGTCATTATAAATCAAGACACAGAAGGAAGTTACAAAATTCCACGTTGTGTTGCAAAACATGGAAAGCCATTTACAGATGGAGATAATATAAAAGAGGCTTTTTTCAGTTGTTCAGATGTTTTGTTCAATGGCTTGCCCAATAAAGACACAGTCATTTCCAGAATAAAAGATTTGTCTTTGTCTGCCATTTAAGTGGTGAGATGTATTGGTGAAATGGCAGAAAACATTAACAAACAGCAGATGGTGGCATTAAAAGATGCAGTGGCATTCAGTGTTGCGCTTGATGAATGTGTGGACATAAATGACATAACACAAGTTAGTAGTTCTTGCAAGATACTTTGCCTCGGTCAAAGTTCGAGAAGAGCTATGCTGCCTAAAAGCCATGCATGGCATAACAATGGGAAGAGCTAGCGAAGATGTTTATTAATCATTTTGAGGAAAGAGGGAATTGATACCAGAAAAATATTTTCTGAGACAACTGCAGGTGCCCCTGCTATGATTGGAAAACAGAGGGGATTTGTAAAGATCATTGAGGATGAAATTGGCCACCTGACAGTACATTTTCATTGCATTATTCGCCAAGAAAATCTTTGTGCCAAGATTTCTAACTGAGTTTAATAATGTGATAACTACAATGGTGAAGCTTGTGAATTTTCTTGTTGCTTGATCTGCCTTTTACGCATCAGCAGTTTGAAGGGACAGTGAATACAAGGACATACCGCTTCACATACCAATGTTAATGTTAACATCTTCAGTGTTAATTGGTTATGCCATGGGAAGGTTTTGACATGCTTTGTGGATTGTCTTGATGCAATCAATATTTTTTTTTGTCAGAAAAAGGTCAAAATTATTCTGAACAGGATAATGACAAATGTCACGCAACTAATGTTTCTAACTGACATCACCGTGCATCTAAACAAACTCAGCCTCCAGCTGCAGGGTGCACGCCAAACTGTTCTAGGTCTTTTTGAAACATGAAAGGCATTTGTTGCTCTACTTGCCATTTTTTCTCAGGACGTTGACACCTCGACTTTCTGCTATTCCAGCATTTTAAAGAACTATGAAACATCAACCTCAGTGATTAGAATATGCATGTAAGAACTCACATCAAAATTTTTTGCTAGATTTTAAGACTGCCAACATTTTAGCTGATGTTTTCCTTTCTAATCAAACCAGATAACTTTGCTGCCAGCAATGTAGACTTGACAGTGTTTCAGTGGGTGGGTCTTGAGGATTTTGAAATGCAGCTTATTGAATTAAAATGCTCAGACTTATGGGCCTCAAAGTGTAGGGATCTGCGGTGCACACTCGAGGCTACCGAGTAAGATCATGGGGTCTCTATCATGACCTGTTGGAATTCACTTCCTGTGAAATTTGACTGTTTGAAGAAAGTGGCATTTTCACTGCTCTCGCCTTTGGATCTACATATCTCTATGAACAGATATTTTCACATATGAAGACAGTTCTTTGTCCCTCTTGGAGCCGGTTAATGACTGAACATTCGTTGGCTTGTGTGCTGCTTGAAGTATCAAACTATGAGGCCGAGATCAGAGAACTCCACAAGGCAAAGCAAGGACAAGGATCACACTAAACGATAAGATCTGCATCTTTATTTATTAAAGAAGATTCTATAATGAGGATTATTATTGACTTTAAAAAGTATCATTGGCACTCAGACCCGTACATAGAAGTGAATAAATTAAGTCTTGGCACTCCACTTTGTTACCTACCAGCACTGTGCTCTTGGGGAGCCAGGGAGTGACATTCATGGAAAACCATCACCCCACCCCTCTCCCTAGGCGTCTGCTAGAATCAGACAAATCAAGGAAGATGCAGGGGAAGACACACCTAAACTAATTAAGGAAACACCCCAGCCTCATCTGCATTTAAGATAGAACAGAGGGACATCTCATTAGCATACAGAATGGAGACCAGCTCTTCCAAGGCAGGAACCGCAGTGAACTATGGGATACCGAAAGTAAAGAAGCACTGCCTGATGGGAAATCTCTACTCCAGATGCTAATGAACCCAGGCCTGCTCATACCCAAATTAGTCATTATCAGACCAATTCTAGTAATGCATCCTATTGACATCCAAAATACTGAAGCTGCCTAGTTGCAAAGTGAGCTAGTTCAAGGAACATCACCCATAACCAGGGGTGATCAGTCTCTATTGTCTTGCCTCTTTCTCTTTGTACTATTGTCCTATCCCTAAAAAAACTCCTATCCTTGCCCCAAGAAAAACTGTTCTGATATCTGGATTTAAGCTACATCTGTTCCATTGAGACTTCTTCATCTCCTGTCTGATCATGCTGGGGGTTCTGCTTGTCTCCGGCCCTCTGGACCCTCGGCTACCATCATCATCTGGGAACCCCAATCAGTGCATCATCTGGAGTGGTGAGGTCTCTCTCTCTCTCATCAACTACCTCTCTAAGCATAGCCTCCTGACTCTGCCCTATGTAAACTGTTATATGGTTAGCTAGCCCTAACATTTGTCATCAGTTCCAGTTTAGATTTAATATTGTAACTGTTTTGTGTGTTTGGCTCCCTATATATATAATAAATAACTTTAATTGTTAAGATGGTTGCTTCTCTCTCTTTCTTTCTCTTTCACTCACTCTTCCTCAAGAGGTGGTTTTTTTGTTTGTTTGTTTTTTTGTTTTTGGCTTCCCCATTCGCTCTGCAACAACGCTTCTTGTACCCAAGCTAAAGATCCCTGTAGTGCCCAAAATCCTGTGGGGTTTGCTCATCGTGTGGTTTACTGGTGAACGATTGTGGTGTGAAAGAGGGGATTAGGGGGTGCTGAATCTGGGGGCATATGAGGATGGCAGCCTAAAGTGCTGTTTAATCCAGCCCACTGAGTCCAAAGGCACATGAGGGTGCAATGTGGCATTGCTGTTAAACCCAGCCTGCTGAGTCCAGGGACATATAAGGGGTCAGCTTGTGAGTGCTGATTACCCATGCTCTGTTAGTGGGTGTGAGTGTCTGTGTGTTGCTCAGGTGGGAAGAACAACATCCTGCGGAACCTAGTTCCTGCAGAAGAGCTCCAGTGGGAGAGGGAATTGGCAGCATGGAGAGGATTCAGTTCCATATAAGAACACAAGTAAGCACAAGCAGCACACTGATAGAATTGATAACCTTCCCCAGACCCATAAGAGTAACCATAATAAATGAGCATATCCCAAAGTATTGGGCAAATCTGGTGGTAACTTCTGAAAGGTTGCTGACCCCTGAAATAGCCTCTCTTTCTCAAATACATTAGATTCCAAGGCCAGAAGGGACCATTGTGACCACCAGTTAACCTGACTTCTTACCTAACACAGACTATAGAACTTCCCCAAAATAATTCCTACAGTGCATCTCTTTGAAAAATATCCACTCTTGATTAAAAAATTCTCAGTGATAGCGAATGCACCATTATCTTTATAAATTACTCCAAAGATTCATTACCCTCATTGGTAAAAATGTACACCTTATTTCCATTCTGGATTTGTCTAGGTATAGCTTTCAGCTGTTAGATCGTATTATACCTTTTGCTGCTTGATTATACAGCCCATTAATGTTTGTTCTCTATGTGAGTACATAAAGATGATAATTAAGTAACCAATTAACTTTTTCTTTAAGACTGGACTCTGAGTTTATCACTATAAATAAAGACTTCTTTAATCTAGGGATGTAATTGATTAACTGATAAGCAAAAGTTTATAAGTTAATGCTATAGACTACGCACATTTCCCCCTCTCCCACCTGTAAATTTTTTAGCAGTTTGGCTAGCAGCCTGTCTCAATCCTGGCTGTGATGCATCTGAGACCTACCACCGCTGCGGCTCTGCATTTAAAGTGTATTAGGAGATAGGCAGGCAGCCTGGCTCATGTCCAGCTCATGCTGGGTCCAGGAATTCTGAGCCCCCCCTCCCCTTCCCTGGATAGGGGCTACTGCCACCCCTGCATCAGAGGCAGCAGCTCAGAGAGACAGGGTGC